CACATGAAAGTCTTTTCTCTGGCTGGTAGCTTTTGTGGCTTCAAGGATGCTAGACAGACAGGAAGAAAATCTCCAAGCAAGTCCTGGTATTTTGGCATGGCCCAAGCAGTGTATTATTAACTATTAAATGGTCAGAGTGCCCAAGAAACATCTTCAGGCCAAAGCTGCTTCAGTTATCAATTAATATCTGGAATAATACAATGTTTGTATTTTAGATATTTATATTTTTTGTTTGCATTTCTAACCCTGGAATTCTATTGTTCCTTTGTCATATGACATTATGCTGACTATGCACAAGTTAAATTTTCTAAGAAAGCGAGGTCCTGAAAAATCATTCTTTTACCATCTTTCCTCATCCTTCTTTTCCCATCAATGTGAGTCTCTGTGTTGGGCATAGATAACTTCAGTTAAACTAACTTTGTTGTTGTATATGCCATGTAATCACCAGAGCATATAGTAGGAAGAGCCTTGCAATCTGATCTTTGGCCAAATCTTCTATCCCACTGAATCTCATTGACCTTTTAAGTTTACTTTGTTTTGATTATCTTGCTCCTGAGTAAATACAGGGGCAGATGTTTCAAGAACATCTCAGAGTCTCATAAAGAGAGCTCTGACTTCTTTATGTGCATCACAACATCCAAAGCATATGGAAGACCTTCAAGTAGATAAGGATATCTCCTTAAAAGCAGGAGGGGTAGTATGCTCAGGATTTTCATGAATAAGCCTAGAAGCAATACTCTTGGGAGGAGGCATAAATGATTCCCAAGAAAATTTTGCCTGATAGAAGAGAAAGTGGGAAGTAGCCTTGAATGCATTGGCACAGGTGACCACTTTCTAAATATAACAACAGTACACTGAAAGCAACAATCAATAAATGGGACCTCCTGAAACTGAAAAGCTTCTGTGAGGCAAAGGAAACTGTAAATAAGACAAAATGACAGCCTACAGAATGGTAAAATATCTTCACCAACCCCACATCTGACAGTGGGTTGATCTCCAATGTATATAAAGCATACAACAAACTAGAAAACAAAATAACAAATAATCCAATTGAAAAATGGGGTACAGAGCTAAACAGAGAATTCTCACCAGAAGAATCTCAAATAGTCAAAAGACATTTAAGGAAGTGTTCCACACCCTTAATCATCAGGGAAATGCAAATCAAAATGAATCTGAGATACCATCTTATACCTGCCAGAAAGGCTAAGATAAAAAAACACTGAGGACATCTTATGTTGGAGAGGATGTGGAGTAGCAGAACAGTATTCAGTATTGGTGTGAGTACAAACTTATACAGCCACTTTGGAAATCAGTATGGTGATTTCTAAGAAAGTTGGGAATCAATCTACTTCAGAACCCAGCGATTCCACTCTTGGGCATATACACAAAGGATGCTTAATCATACCACAAGGACCTTTGCTCAACAATGTTCATATCAGCATTACTTATAATAGCCAGAACATGGAAACAACCTGGATGTCCCTCAGTTGAATAATGGATAGGGAAAATGTGACACATCTACACAATGGAGTACTACCTAGGGGTAAAACAATGTAACCTCATGAAATTGGCAGACAAATGGATGGGCCTAAAAAAACGACCATCCTGAGTAAGGTAACCCAGACTCAGAAAGACAAACATGTATTCACTCATTAGTGTATATTAGAAATAAAGCAAGGGATAACCAGACTGTACACAGATCCAGAGAAGCTAGGTAACAAGAAGGACCCAAGGAGGGCCACATGGATCACTATGGAAAGGGAAATTAGATGAGACTATGGGTTAAACTCAGATGATGGTAAGAGAGAGGAGAAGGGAGTGAGAACATGAGGGAAATGGATGATTGAAATGGGGATGCAGCAGAAAAGGAATGAAAGATGTTTCTTAATAAAGAGAGCCACTATGGGGTTAGGGAAAAATCTGGTGTTAGGGTAATTACAAAGAATCCACAAGGATGACCCCACTCCTAGCATTAGTCGATAGGGTGCCCGAATTGACCTTCCCCTGTAATTAGATTGGTGATTACCCCAATAATAATCATAGAGATTTCATCCAGTAATTGATGGAACCAGATTGAGAGATCCACAACCAAGAACCAAGCTGAGCTCTGGGAATCCTGTGAAAGAGACGGAGAGAGGACCAAGAACCAAGCTGAGCTCGGGGAATCCTGTGGAAGAGAGGGAGACAGGAATATATTAGCAATGGAGGTCAAGACTATGATGGAGAAATCTACAGAGACAGCTGAACCAAGCTGGCAGAAACACATGAACTCTAGACCAACAGTTGACGAGACTATAGGGGAATCAAACTAGGCTATCCATATGTGAGAGAGAGTTGTGATGCTTGTACTATATTTGTAATAGGACCACAATATAAACCTCGTACATGAGCTAGCTTGTTGCAGCTTATTTCCTATGATGGGATGCCATGTTAATTCAGCCTTAATGTATTGGAGAGAAGCTTGGTCCTACCCCAACCTACTCTGCCAGACTTTGTTGACTCCTTTTGGGAGCTCTTACTGTGAGCAAGAGTGGACTGGGAGTGGGATAAGGGGGAGGCAAGGAGGATGTGAGGAAGGGTGGGAGGGAGAACTACAGTTGGAATGTAAAATGAAACTTAAAAGAATAAATAAAAAAGAAATTTCCATTAATCCAATATCCCAAATTGTGATAATATTAAAAGTCCCCTCCCAAAAGCATGAAGCACATGGAAATCAAAAGTGTCACGGTATGTATCATGCAGCGAAGCTTTGCTGGATGTTTGTCCAGCAGCTAGCTGTCCTGCTTACATGAGTTTTGCTGTTCCCATCAGCTAGAGTTGTGCCATGAAATAAATATGCAACTTCATAAAATAGTAATTCTATTTAATGAAAAACTTAAATATAGATAACACATTTAAGTTGAATTTTCCAAACATGTAGAAGTTATTAGATTTACATTTAAAATATATTCCAAAACTCTCTTCAAAGTGTACAACAAAATTATAGGTAATTACATACAAATTAGAATTACAAAAATGATTAATAGGAATTTCCCAGAATAACCTTAAAGACATACTCAAACTTACCACACAATAACAAAATCATAATAAAATATTGATAAAATAAATTTTAACTACATAGTAGACAAATGTTCTCACCCAGTGTTGGCTACAAATTGTATATTTCAATTCCTTGTGCAGTAGTTGAGGAGCACACTCACACAGCTCCTCAGAACTTCAATCTTGAAGATTATATTAGTATTTAAAATATATGTACATCCTACAATTTATGGAATGCATTGCAAAAAAAACACTTCAAATAATTACCTCAATTAGGATGCAGAATATACCATTAATATTTCTTCCAGGAAATGTACATTTAGCATGAACTATTTTACTACATTTTCACCACAGCACTGACCCATAATTATGTACCAAAATATTTTTTAACAGCATTGCTCGTAAGCATGGGCATGAGGATATAAATTGGAGAAGTTTGTTGATATTGTTTATTATAATAATGGCAAAATAAAATATCAGGGCATTGACAAACATCCTTCCTCTCAACTACACTAGAGCTATGTACTTAATGGGGCCAGGCGGTTCCCCAATGTATTTATTTTAAAGATATATTGGTATTTTGTGTGTATGCTGTTTTTGCCCACATGAATGATGGGGCACTGTGTGTGAACAGTGCCCTCAGAGGTCAGAAGAGGGCATTGGATTCTCTAGAACTCAGGTTAGAGATGGTTGTCAGCCACAAGGAGAGTGCTAACAACTGAACCAAGTTCCTTCACAGGAGCACCAAGTGCTTATAACCAGATGAGCCATCTCTCCATCCCTCAACTCATTTCTTGATGGATGGTTTTCATCACCATGTTTTATAGTTTTATTTTTTAAGGGGAAAAACAAGAATTAGTATATTCTGTGAGCTTATGTGTCCTGCAAAGTGTGTCTGAAAATACTCCTTAAACTTTGCATCACTGCCTTCTCTAGTTAAAATGACAGAGGGGTTCCCTTGTCTTACTAAGAATGTAATTTTTTACTAACATGCTGCCTGAGGATGGTGCATGGTTGAGAAAGATTGACAAGGTTTGACTCAGATTTGACTATGAGTGAGTCAAATCATTATCAGACTCATTCTGAAGAAAATTTTCTAAAAATTTTAATATGCTTTCTAATCTTTACTTACTGGACTTCAACTTATTTAATTACACTGTCCTTTTTGCCTGTGTCTCTTTTTTTCTTACATTTGTTTTACTTAATTTTCTTGGTAGTACACTATATATTCTCTGTCTATTATCTTATTTATTTAAAATTTATTTTTAAGAATTTTCTAAGGAGATATAATATGTTTGATCACATTCAGTCACCATATTCCCCAGTAATCCAGGGAGTGTTGTTCTGACCGTCACATCCTCTTTTTAATTTTCATATTCCACTGTGTCCAATTAGGTGTGTTTGGCTTTGTCTCTATTCAAGCAAATTCTAGAGTACTCTGTAGTTGCATTTATTCTAAGATATTTCAGTTCACTTTTCATTTCTTTCTAAACTTTCCCCCTTTTTGAACTTCTGGCCCTGGCATTCAAACACATCCTCAGATCTCTGCACAACTAAAGATCTGCAGTGCAGTGTCTGGCTGCTGTCTCTTCTCCAGTTAAGCACTGTTGGAACATTTAGTTACCAGTCCTTGATATGATTCTCAACTCTTGTTCCAAAATTACTCTGCTGCATGTCTCTCATTTCTGTTTCTATGGTTATAGTCACTTCCTTCTTGTTTCTTTTCCTGGCATTTTTTAGCTTCCTAGCAAGCTGTCTTATGGCTACTGACCATTCTCAAAGACAACCTTAGCTCCACATTGAGACAGATGAACCCCATAAGACAGTAAGCCACTGGTTTTGCAGCTTTATTGAATGAACAGACAGTGACAGAGTAGGTCACCGAGATTACCCCATTGCAGTGAGATTTTGTATATTCACAAGTTCCAAATACCATAAATTGTTATACTCTTTTTTTATTTAAGGGGCAAGCATCAACACAGTCCTCTACAACCACAAATCAGAGTCATATTTCCCACATTTGGGGAAATAGGAGAGGTCAGCACATCTGGAGTATAGTAGATAAGCCCTGGCATGGGAAAAGTATCTTTGTGATCATGGTATTTCTCCTGCCAGGTAAGTATAATTATTGTCTCTTTTTATATGGATTGAAATATTATCAACAATAAAATTGGTACTTACTATTCATGTATCATCTTGTGAAGTTAGAGTTGTATTTGTTTTTTGAATCTGTCCTTCTGTTTTTCTGTGAAATATAGTTGTTACCAGGTATCTTATTTAGGTTTCCATTGCTGTGATTATATATCATGATCAAAAGTAACTTGAAGAGGAAATGGGTTATTTGATTTACCGGTTATAGTCTATCATCAGCTAAAGCCAAAGCAGGACCTTGAGGCAGAAACCATGAAAAAACACTGCATCTACACTTCAGCTTCATACTTTGCTCATTTTGCTTTCCTAACCCAGTCAAAACTATCTGTCCTGGAATAACAATACCCACAGTGGGCTCATCAATCATTAATCAAGAAAATGCCCTACAGACTTTCCTACTAGCCTATCTACTGGAGACATTTTCTCAATTAAGATTCCCTACTCCAAGCAAGATATATTTATGTTTATATCAAGCTGACAGAAACTAACCAAAACATCTAGGAAAATCTGACAACTTGCTTTCTTATCATAATAGATATCAAGATCATTTGACATCTATCAATATTGTATAGTTTTGACTATGATCTCACAGTACATTTAACTATGATCTCACAAATGTCATTGAAGTGATACAAGAACTTAGGTTCCTGTTGATTGCATCTGTTTGATCTGACTGCCTTACTTGATGGGCATTGAGGAATGAATTGAGTTCAGTTAAAAGAAAACTAAAATTCTAATGTTCTCTACCTATGAATGTGATCTTATTTAGAAAATAACTCTCTGCAGATATAACTCAGTTAGGATGGACTCATATTAAAGGTGGGTCCAAATCAAAATATGGCACGTGTCCTTATAAGACAAAATACAGAAAGACTGAGACATTGATAAGGGGCACCATGGAACCACAGAGACAGATATGAAACTATCTTCAAAACCAAGACAGTCAAAGATTGTCATCAATATCAGACACTAAGAGAAATGCATACAGCAGTCTTGCTGAATGCCTTAAAAGGGAGATTTTAAACTTCTGGCCTGTATAACCATGGGAAACAAATTACTGTTGTTTTAAACTATGTAAATTGTTAAAATTTATGGACGCTCAAGAGACAAAGAGAATGACAGGACAGTTTTTGAGAACGACAAAGATACTTCACAAATGTCTCATCATGATTTAATAAAGCCATCAGTAAAATATGACTCATAATTAAACAAAATAATTCCTTAAATGCATAGATTGAATTATATATAGTTATTTTAAATGAATCCACACTAGGTAAGTCACAGTCTGAAAATAATTAGTAAATATTATAAAAAAACAATAAAAACACAAATTTGTATTTGATTTTCTTGTGTCAGTGCCATTTACTTATAATGTTTACATGAAAACTTACAACAAGATCTACCAAATTTAGAATGCTAAATGTATTTTTCTTAAGTACATAATCTCACAGAAATCAAATCCATCTAGAAGATTTGTGTCTAAGGCCTAAAACATCCCACAATATCCAAGAAGAGGAAGTAAAACTGCACCTAAAATAGAAGAGACCTAAGGACAGCTAGCTGAGCACTGACTGTGTTTCTCTCTTTTTTTCCCTCTGAGACTGACCAGTCTGTTGCTTTTGCTTTTCTCTGCTGGCCTTTGTTGTTTGTGTCGAACAAGGCTCTGAGATGATTCAGCTGTTTGCATGCTGCTCATGGTCATCTCAGAATTGCCATCTCACCTAGAGAGACTGTTTAACCTCACAAGACCCATGCCCAGAACTTGGAACTCATTATCTATGCTCAAAATAAAAAAAAATACTGGTAGACAAAAACTTCTATCTCTGATCCTACAAACTTAAGCTTTATTTACCTGTACAATTTGTGATAGAAAGTGTAAAGTCATTAAGAGTGAAAGAGCATGGAGACATAGCTTGAGGGGGGAAGAGTGATTTTTGTGCAATTACTAGCATCTGAGTTTGGATTTCCAGCCCCTACCTAAAAATCCAGGCATTGAAAGTCTGGTAGCAAGGGGCACATGCATAGTGGGAATCACTGCAGCTAACTGGGCTAACAAGAACAGTGATCTCCAGGATCATTGAGAAAGCCTTTCTGACAGAATAAGGCAAAGAGGCACAGAGGAAGACACCAGGATTCTTCCTTTGGCCTACTTGATCTATAAATATGTGAACATGGGAACACTCACACACACACACACACACACACACACACACACACACACACAATGTTGAAAATAAAAAAAACCAGAAATTTGAAGAAGAAATAAATGTTCAGTATTTCTAAAATAAATATAAGTTCCATTCATTTAAACTCATCCCTCCCTTATTAAATGTATAGAATAAGATAAACATTTCAGTAGGGTAGTGCTCAGCAGATAACACTTCATTGTGCATGATCTTCTTACTGCAGTTGTAGAGGGTAGTGATAACCTTAATGAGAGCTAAGATTAGAAAATCCAGACATGAACTTCATCTGCAACTGATTAATCACAAGACCCTGGATAAGCCTTATTACCTCTCTTACCCTCTTATTCTTTGTCTGTAACTTGGAGTGACAATCAAAAGGATACTCAAATGCTATGAAGTGATAAAGTCTAAGTACTTGGTTTTCATACATATATTGGTCAAAAACCATTCATACTGTAATTTTTTAACTACTGTTATCTATGAAATTAAATAAGCTTTTCATTCATTATACCTGTCAGATACTCATTCTTTGTTGAATAAGCAAAAAATATAATGGGAAGATGCCAGATTAAATTGCAAAGTCAAACTCCCAACTAAGTACTATTTAGAATGACCAGGTTCTAACCCAACTAGGAACTTTAACAAGTTTAGAGCACTTCCATTGATAGTTTGCATTGGTCATGGTTTTCTTTTTTTCTCAATTTTAGCCTAAAGTTGACTGTTCTGAATCAAATTCAAGAGGGAAAGAACCATCTAAAAAGTTTATACCCATGTTCCTTGAAGAGACTTAACTTTCTCTTACTAGGTCTAGGTAGCACTCCTGTTGTGACCAGGAGATGAAGCACATGGCTAGCTGTATCCTCAATAGGATTAATGGAGTGGACTTTAAGAGCAAGTTTGTTTGAAAGTGCTTATTTTGGATATATACCTAAGAGTAGAATTGCTGGATCATGTGGTAGACTGATTCCATTTTCCTGAGGAATCTCCATATTGATTTCCAAAGTGGCTGAACAAGTTTGCAGTTCCACCAATAGTGGAGGAGTGTTCCCCTTTCACCACATCTTCTCCAGAGTAAGTTATCATTGGTGTTTTTGATTTTTGACATTCTGACAGGAGAAAGATGGTATCTCAGAGTTGTTGTGATTTGCATTTCCCTGATGGCTAAGGATGTTGAGCACTGCCTTATGTGTCTTTGAGCCATTTTATATTCCTCTGTTGAGAATTCTCTATTTAGTTCTGTACCTCACTTTTTAATTGGATGATTTGGTGTTTAGGGAACTAGCTTCCTGACTTCTTTGTAAATTTTGGAGATCAGCCCTCTGTGAGATATGGGGTTGGTGAATATCTTTTACCATTCTGTGGCCTGCCATTTTGTCTTGCTGAATGTGTCCTATGCCTTACAGAAGCTTCTCAGTTTCAGGAGGTCCCATTTATTAATTTTCAATTTCAGTGTGTGTGCTGCAGGTGTAATGTTCAGGAAGCTGTTTCCTGTACCAGTCCGTTCATGGGTACTTTCCACTTTCTCTTGTAAGAGGTTCAGTGTGGCTGGATTTATGTTGAGGTCTTTGATCCATTTGGACTTAAGTTTTGTGTATGGTGATAGACATGGATCTATCTGCAGTCTTCTACATGTCAGCATACAGTTATGCCAGCACAATTTGTTGGAGATGCTTTCTTTATTCCATTGTATAGCTTTTGCTTCTTTGTCAAAAATCAGGTGTTCATAGGTGTATGGGTTAATATCATGGTTTTCAACTCTATTCCATGGTCTACCTGTCTATTTTTGTGCCAATACCAATCTATTTTCAGGACTATAGCTCTATAATAGAGCTTGAAGTCAGGGATGGTGATGCCTACAGAAGTTCCTTTATTGTACAGGGTTGTTTTGGCTATCCTGGGTCTTTTGTTTCTCCATATAAATTTGAGTATTTTTCTTTCAAGGTTTGTGAAGAACTGTGTTGGGATTTTGTTGAGGATTGCATTGAATCTGTACATTGCTTTTGGCAAGATTGCCATTTGGACTATGTTGATTCTACCTATTTAAGAACATGGGAGATCTTTCCATTTTCTTTTATCTTCTTTAATTTCTTTCTTTAAAGACTCAAAGTTCTTGCTATACAGGTCTTTCACTTGTTTCATTAGTGTTACCCCAAGATATTTTATGTTGTTTTTGGCTATTGTAAATGGGTGATATTTCTCTGATTTCATTCTCAGCCCTCTTATCATCTGTATATTGTTAACATAAATCTTTCTGCCAAAATCCTCCTGAGCCCCACTGCCACGTGTGAGCTTTATGCCAGCTGCCCGTCTGAGTTAGGGCCCAAATGAATACATAGAAACTTGTATTAGGTTTAATGCTGCTTGACCAATGACTAGGATTCTCATCTGTTAGCTCAGTCCTAATTATATATTTTATAAGACTTATCTTATCGGACACCTTATTGGCGTCCCTCCTTGCCGGTGGATCACATTGTGCTGCTGGGGATGCAAAAGGGGGGAAAAAGGGACTCTTCCTGTTTCTCCTTCGATTAAATATGAGTCTCCTTGCTATGTCACTTTCTGCCTGGATCACACTTCTCTACTACATTTCCCAGAATCCTCTTTGACTCCTAGTCCCGTCTACTTGCTGTCTCATTGGCAAAACAGAATTTTATTTAACAATCAATAAGATAAACATACACAGTACATTTCCCATCAGTATATAGTAGGGCTACTGATTTTTTTGAGTTAATCTTGTATCCTGCCACTTTGCTGAATATGTTTATCAGCTGTATCATCTCCCTGGT